AAAATCTTCACCCACTACCTTTTTGTGTGTTTGTTTGTTGGCCTCCAACTAAACAAACCTTCTTGGGAATCTTTAAATGGTAAATGGCCTGTATTTGTATAGCTCTTTACCAGTCCCTAAGGACCCCAAAGCGCTTTACACACACTGGTGATGGCAGCTACTTTGTAGCCACAGCCACCCTGGGGTGCGCACACAGAGGCGGGGCGCTGGCGCACTGGCGCCACCGGGCCCTCTGACCACCACCAGTAGGCAACAGGTGAAGTGTCTTGCCCAAGGACACAATGACGAGACTGTCGGAGCCGGGGCTCGAACCGGCAACCTTCCGATTGGCAAACTCCCAACTCTTGAGCCACGATCACGACACAAAACCTCAAGAAGAGTATAAATTATTTTATTGCAGATGATGAATTTTCCGCTGTTCAGCTGTACTTGTATAAAAGGTTGCTGCCCGCAAGAACAAATAAGCCTGAAACACTGCAGGGCACAGGCCTGTGTGATCGTATGATGGAGGCAAGTGGGTTTAATTTAATTTTTTTTAAAACACCAGAAACAGAAAAAACTCTACTGAATATTCAACAAGCCAAAGAGAACAGGAGCAGGAAACACAGCTTTAATGTGGTGTGATGATAAAGAAAGGGTTCAGACACAAAACCTGTAACCCATGTTTGGAAGCAAAATCAAAACCTGGTCAAAAAGTACAACCAGCAAAAAAAAGGCCTCGTTAGTTTATTACTGACATTCAAACTGTCTACTGAACTGCTTTTAAAGTAACAGTACAGTTAGCAAAAGAAAGGATTAAGTCTGGAAGAAAATCATCTAACATTAAAGGTAACACCGTTTATCATTGACCATTTAACAGGAAGTCATTATCAGTCAGGCAGAACAATGACGACTGTATTTGGTGCGTAAAATTTAAAAAATGTATGTACAGAAGCAAAAAAGTGAAGAGAGATTCCATTTTCTCCTTTTTGTCTCAATGATTTTTGGTAATTACAAACAAAAAGTAGAAAAGCTCTTTCATGTGTAATGTTAGTGATTACTTCTTCATCCACAGCACATAACTATGCATGTAAGATAGGGAAACAAATAATGTTTTTATCTTATCATCTAAAATGCCTCAAATGTTACACAGAGTTTAAGAATACTTACAGTAACAAATGTATTCGTAGTAGTAATAGTAGTATTATTATTATTTACAGTACTGTGCAAATGTTTTAGGCAGGTGTGGAAAAAATGCTGTAAACAAAGAAAGCTTTCAGAAATATAAATGATTGTTTTTTGGCCCCAAATGTATTCTGCAGCAGGACATTGACCCCAGACACACAGCCAAAGTCATGAAGAAGAAGATCTGCAGCATAAAAAAGTACTGGAAGCGATGGTCCGGCCCTACCAGCCGAGTCCTTCAAAAACTGTGTGCAAGTAAATAATTGGTAAATGGCCTGTATTTGTATAGCGCTTTTACTGGTCCCACCTAGGGACACATTGGTGGAGGTAGCTACAGTTGCAGCCACAGCTGGGGCAGACTGACAGAAGCCATATCGCGCCATCGGCCCTTCTGGCCAACACCAGTAGGTGAAGTGTCTTGCCCAAGGACACAATGACCGAGACTGTCCGAGCCGGGGCTCGAACCAGCAACCTTCCGATTACAAGGCGAACTCCCAACTCTTGAGCCACGATCGCCCTGTAAGTGTACTTAGAAGAAGGCAAAGGGTGGTCACCACAAATATGGATTTGATTTACATTTCTCTTTTGCTCATTCACTGCATTTTGTTGATTGATGAAAATTAATGACTAACTCTTCCATTTCTGAAAGCATTCTTTGTTTACAGCAATTTTTCTCACATGCCTTGAACTTTTGCACAGTACTGTATATAATATAGAAGAACCATACCTGAGGGTAACTGTCCAAATGTGTTACCTCCACAAGAACAACATACCATATTACCATGTTTGTGCCTGTTCTTGGTGCTCCTCTTTGTTCAACCACTGAAGAACTCCAAGCACCTAACTTGTTGGAGGCAGAAGCTAAAAAAAGATGCAGTCACTTAAAAAGTTTTTAAAAATTCTGAAAAAGTTCCTTGAGTCTGAAAGTGCCTCTGATCCATCAGTTATTGGAACACTGGGAAAATCTGCAACTTCCAGAAGTGCTACACAAAGTGCCTGAAACTACTAACTCAACAACAACCACAGACCGACAATCTGAACAGAGGAAATAATGCTGAAAACCCAACAGACCAGGAAACGCTGCGAGGTTCATCTCACATTACTTCTTACTACTTAGCCTTTTTCCTGTTTTGCGCTATAATTTTGTCTTTCAAAATAAAAGGCTGAACTTCAAAACAAAACATTCAAAAAACGTGAGAATACTACTGAAATATATGTGTCCATTTAATGGTCATTTACACCATGAGCTTAGAAAAACAGAGTGAGACAGGTAAAATTAAATAATCATAAAAATACATTTTTAAACCTTTTTAATGGCCGTAATTTTCTTTCCTTGCATTGTAGCCTCTGCTGAGATCGGCATTGCCTCGCGGATTCTGGCTTCAATGCCTTCATCCATTTTGTAGCCAAGTGCCTCTGCCAGGAGACGAGTCCTCACAAAACACTCCTTCAGCTCCGTTTTTACATCCACCACCAGGTGAGTGTTGCTTTTATTGAAGGATGTGACTGCTTTGATTTTAACTCTCCCAGTGTGGACAGGTGCACTCTGATCCTCCACAGCTGCCTTGGGAGTTTTGGTGGCTCCATTCAAATTCAGGGATGAATCACTGTTCGCTGGCTCCTCCAGTTTAGCCTCTGATGGTTCTGAACAATCAGACTGAAAAAGAGCACAAGGTTACCCAAAAACTCCAAATTACAGAGCCCCCTAATGGTCATGTGGTACTAATCTTTACTCCTTGTTTGTAAAACCAATCCTTAAATTTAATGTATTAAAATGTTAGCTCCTCCTTTTAAACACACTCTCTGGTTTCTTCCCTTCACTAATCCGTTCCTTTGGTTTATTAATCTATAATCTTGATTTACTAATATGTCCCCTCAGTTTATTTCCATTATTTTTAAGCCATTCCCTTGTACTTTACCAAGCATTTGAATAACAACTGACTTGTTAAAAAAGGAAGAAAATCAAAAACTTTTGCACTCTGCAGCCTGGAAACAGCAGCTACCTCGGGAGCGTTCGTGGTTTCAGCTGACTTCATAGATAAATCGTTGTTCTGCGTCTTCTTCTTTTTGGGCTTCATTGTGCTGACAGGATCAGTCTGTGGAGACCAAATTAAAACAGGAAATCATTTACAGTGTAATTAACCACAAAGTAATTGTGATGCAATGCAGGGGCCATATGGTAAAACCAAATATAATTATTTATTTAATAAATATTATTGATAATTTTTAAAAGAAATATTATATATTAATATGTAAAAATATTAATAGATATATGAATACATTTTGACCTCTAATTGAGTTTCTCTATTACATCCTGTCAGTTATGGATGTTAACTGTGAGAGTGTGAACTGCCATTTGATAAACTTTTTGTTTGGTGAATTAATCTGTTAGTTTACTAATCTGTTCCCTTTTTTAGTTCCCCCAGTTTATTAATCAGTTTCCTTAATTAATTAATTAATTTGTCAACTCAGTATATTATACACCTTTCATTAATTGAGTTTAATGTCCGGTTCCCTTGATGGATTAATGTCCCTCTATTAATCACTTCCCTGGGTTTATTAATTTGTTAACTCAGTACTATTCGGTTTCTTTGTTTATCAATTAGTTCTGTTGTTGGTTCACTGACCTTGATTTATTAATTAGTTCCCTAAATTCATGAATAAGTTCCCTCGAATAATTCATCTGTTAACATAACTATAGTAATCGGTTCTCCAAGTTTATTGATTGGTTTATTGATCTGTTTAGGGGCGACCGTGGCTCAGGGGGTTGGGAAGCGTATCTGTAACCGGAAGGCCGCCGGTTCGATCCCTGGGCTCTCTGTCCTGGTCGTTGTGTCCTTGGGCAAGACACTTTACCCTACCGCCTACTGGTGTTGGCCAGAGGGGCCGATGGCGCGATATGGCAGCCTCGCTTCTGTCAGTCTGCCCCAGGGCAGCTGTGGCTACACCTGTAGCTGCCTCCACCAGTGTGTGAATGTGAGAGTGAATGAATAGTGGTATTGTAAAGCGCTATATAAATCCAATCCATTATTATTCCTTTAGTTTTTTAGTTATCTTTAATTTATTAATTTACCTCAGTTTATCAATAGGTTCTCTTAAATCAATACTTTGTTAACTCAGTTTATAAATCTATTCCATTCTTTTACTACTTACGTTTATTATTCAGTTCCTTATGTTTACTAATTACTTCCCTCGGTTCCCACAGTTCTGGTTCCTCAGTTTACTAATCAATTCTATAAAATTATTAAGATGTTACCTTGATTTGTTAATGTGCTCCCTCAGTTTATTTCCTCTCTTTTATTAAGCTGTTACCTTATATTATACTAAAAAACTGAATAAAAACTGGCTCAAAAACAATTCAAACACATTTACACCCTGCAGTCAGTAAACAGCAGCTACCTCGGGAGTTTTGGTGGTTTCAGTTGATCTCAGGGATGAATCTTTGTTCTCCATCTTCTTCTTTTTGGACTTCATTATGCCGACAGGATCAGTCTGTGGAGACCAAATTCACAGCAATCATTAATTAAACACAAACTATTTGTGATGCACTGCAGGGGCCATGTGGTTAAAAATGGTGGTTTATTTCTTCTTACCTTACGCTGGGAGTTTATCCGTTTACCTTTAAAAGAAGAAAAATGCTGTTAAGATCTGGCTTCTGTTCGAGAAGCAGAAAACAAACTCTAACTTCAAACTGCGAGCTGATTCACTCTGTGATCAGACACTAAGCTGATCACAGTATGTTCAATCAGCTCCTTGGTTTAGTAGCTGGTTTAAAAACCTGCCGCGGATGTTTTCATGTGTGGACTGCAGACAGGTCAGTGTAAGTGCAGAGGTGCTTTGTTCATCGTCTGCTGAAATAAGAAACAGCAGGTGTTGCCTCAGTACCGGTCTGCAGGTTTCTCTGTGTGTGTGCAGAAATTTCAGATTCTCTGAATCCTTTAATGAACTTTTGAACTTTTAAAAACAGGGTTTCTTATGATAAAAGCTTGGTCCTACCACAGGCTGTCTGTAGAAGTCTGACATTAACACACCTCACAGTGTGACCTCACCCTTCTTCTTCTTTTCCTGTTTGCTCTTCAGTTTGTGCACAAAGGGTCGCAAGTGTTTCTGGACTGCATCGTCCCTCCGAGGTATCCGATCTAGTGCTTCTTTGACTTTCCGGATGGAAGTTTCCACTCCGAAGCGCTCAATAATGTTTTGGGGCAAGTGTTCTTTGAACTTAGTGGTTTTCTTCTTTTGGAGGATTTTCAGAAATGTCAGCATCTCATTGTACTGAGGGTTGTTCAGCTGCCCGAGGATGGCAGTCAGAGCTCTTTTCCAGTTTGTCTCTGAAATCGTTGGCACCTGAGACACAGAGAGATACTGGACTCACACAGCTGTGTTATTTTAGATTATACATTGAAACAGTACGTTTAGAAAATCAATCCCAGTGTAACTCCGGCAGTGAAGAGATCAAGAGACAGTGTCTTCTGAGTCTTTTTCATTTCTCTGTTATTGTCATTCAAAACTTCACCGCAACTATAAAAGTGAAGACAAGTCCAAAATCTGGAGGCAGAAATTTGTATGTTGATCTGGAAATAGTTGGAAATCTCTTTCTAATCATGAAATGACACCTCACATTTATCTGTTGACCCTTTTTAGGGGCCCGACCCACAGGTTGGACTAGTGTAGCTGTATTCAAATCAGAGTGAACCATAAATACTAAGATTGAGGCTGTTTCATGGAACAATCCTCTAAAACCACAGACCGTATCGTCTTGCAGCCTCCATCAGTTTATCAATCATGTCCTGTGACTTGTTAATCAGTTCCCTCACTTTAATAACATGTTCCCTCTGTTCCCTTGTATTCTGAGAGCAGTGGGTACCTTGTGAGTCTTGGATGCATCTCTGTTTTCCATCTTCTTCTTCTCCTTGGACTTTTCTGCTGTCCCAGGATCAGTCTGAGGAAACCAGCAGCTCAAAATTAAAACAGGCGATCATTCATTAACTCAGAGGAATTAATCAGAGTGTCATGGTCCCCGTGCCTGCTCGGCTGGCCCTGTGTGGCTACATGTTATGTTTTGTCTATTCTCTCTCTCCTCTCTCTCTGCTCGCTGCCTGGGCGGAGCTCATTGTGAGCTCCCGGCCTCCACCACCTGTAGGCAATCACCTGTGGCTCCTCACCTTGTTTGCTCCCGCTACTTAAGGCAGTGACTGAGAGCACCTCGCCGCTGGACTATTGAGTAACGCTCGTCAGTGCTACTTTAGCCTCAGCCAGTTTTGAGCTCTGTCCGTGAAAGTTCTGTGCTAACTCTTGTTCTCTGTATGCAGATTTCTCGTGCTTGGTTTGGGGACTCTGGACGCTTTTTCCGACTCCTCTCTGCACCCCTGGGAACCCTGGCCCCCTTCTCCTTCACCTGTATATAGTGCACCTGGAGTGTGTGTAAATAAACCTGTTTTTCTGAGATTTCTGTCTGCGCCAAGTCCTCCCTGCTCCTCCGTGACACAGAGTTATGTTGATGTACTGCAGGGACTTTGTGTTAAACACTGTATGAGAATATGAATAATCTGTCAGCATGGTTTCAGCTTCTCTGTGTTAATAAATCTTATCAGTTACTTATATTTGTGTTCAGTTGATGAATCTGTTTTTCCATAATCTGTCCCCTCATCTCATTATTATATTCATCTGTTCCCTCAGTGTCTCTGTGTTTGTCACATCATCACCTTCCTCCTCTTCCTCTGATTTGAGGAGATATAAAAGCAGCAGAATAAATGACCATACCTGACGGAGGGAGTGGTTCGGTGCTGATGATGATGATGATTTCACTCCTACTTTGTCAGGCTGGCAGCTTTTCTGCTTGCCTATAAGAGAAGAAACTGTGTTACTCTGGTTTGAAGGTAAAACCCTCAAATCTGTCGGTTTAATATGATTGTTTGTGGATCAAGTCCGATCCAAACTGGCTTTTGGAGCCTGTACTGTCAGCTCTGTGGTGGCCAGTGAGCCTCATCTTGTGTTTGAGGTTGAGAGATTACCAGATATAGTCAGGCTCACCTCGATGCACAGCCAAACACCAGCCCAGCATCAGATGTGCAGCCACATGGAGACTCAGCTGAATCTATGAGCAGAGCTGTGTGATCATAACCTGGGCGTGAGTTGGATCTGGTGCCCTGCTGTGCTCTGGTGTTTAGTGAGGACATGCTGGGAGCTCTGGTATGACCTTCAATGAAGAGTCAGTATGGGCCGAGTTACCGACCTCAACTACTGAGGCAGCTACATGCAGCTGTGGCTGTAAGGTTTTTGGTTCCTGTTGTGGCATGAACAATGTGGCGCCACAGTCTTGTTTAGCCTCCCTGTACTCTAAGCAGGTACAGAGGATGGCTTTATCAATACTTAAAAATGGTTCTCATCCTCTAAGGGGTGAATTTCAGCTTCTTCCCTCAGGACGGAGGTTTCTATTTCCGAGATGTAGGACAAAGCGTTATAAAAATAGCTTTGTCCCCGTTGCTGTCACTGAATTAAATAAGAACTGTTTTTGATTCGAAATATTAAAGTATGTGTCACAGTGAGTTTTATATATTTACTAGGTATGTATGTTTTTAAAGGGATGCCAAATGCTGTCATTTTTCTGTAAAGCAAATTTACCTTGCCTTTGGGTATAAATAAAGTTACCTTGACCTTGACCTTGACCACAAGCCAACCATCTCCTGTCGAGTTTGATTAGCTTTTATAGACTTTGAGTTTTTGAGTCAGCTCACAGACATCAGAAGGTCAACCAGAGTTGCTTTGATTGACAGGTCTTTGCTACACTGCATGGATATCCGGGTCAGAGCCTCTGGATTAGCGTGGTGGTCCCACGTTTTAAAGAGGGGAACCAGAGTGTGGTTCCTGCAGTGATCAGGACTCACACTCCTCTGCCTCCCTGGGAAGGTCTGTGTCAGGTTACTGGAGCAGGTAGATCATCCTCACATTCTGGATGATGCACTTTTCATCCCAGCTGGCAGCACGGGACCAACACTTTACCCTCACAACGTGAGGAGGTTTGGCTCTCTTATGTCTCTTGTGGTCTCCTGCTATGGATGTCTTGTAGGAGGAGCTCTGGGAGGACCGAGTGTCAGGCCCGTTGTTACAAGTTATTCAGGGATATGCAGGAACTGACAGTAATCACACTCGAATGCAACCAAAACAACTGCACCAAGACCCTTTGGACGAAACGGTCTCGGTCCTGTTCCAAACAAATTACCAGGAATGCTACAAGGTTGAAACAAAGCGCCTTCCCGTAGCCACGCTTTGCATTCTGGGATGCAGCAGGATGCCATAGATGTCAGTACAGGCGAGCAACCAGCTGTTTATGTAAACTCTCCATGTTATCTACTAGTGCAGTTTTTTACTTTTGTGGCTGCTGCCTTCAGACATGTCTGACCAATGAGTGGACTCAACGTTCTCTCATGGTTCGAGAAACATTTTGGTTCACTTCGGTTTTTCTGTGATCAGAAAAACCAAACTATAGGTGTGAAAACAACATTAACCTTCAGCAGAAACACTGTGACTCCATACAGATAGATGTTCACCTACCAGCTTCACCCTTTCTGCCCGCTGACCTCAGAACAGTTTCACTCTGTTTCCTCTTCTTCCCTGAAAGTCACATTTTTAAAGGTTGAGCACACAGGTTGTTAAAGTCGTGTGAGGCAGCAGTTTTCTCCACAAAGTAAGCATGAAACCCTCCCAGTGGTCCCTGGTTTAATCTGGGAACATGTGATGTGTATCTGGCAATTTCATAAAACATTTTTCGACCTTTCAAGAAATGTGGAATTCCAATAAAATGAATAAACATGAATAATTAAATCTTAGATTCTCATTTTAACACGAAGAAAGAAAAAAAGACCTAAACATCAAACATCTGTAAAAACCTCTTTACTATCACTTGCACTGACCTTTAAAGCTTCTGCTGTTGCTCACAGACCATCTGTAGAAACTTCACATAAACATCAGGTCACAGGATGAACTCACCTCTTCTTTCATTCTCCTGTTTCTTCTTCAGTCTTTTGTTAAGGTTCAAAAATTGAGGAAGGAGAGTACAAACAACCATTGGTCCAGAAGATCTTGGTCAAACAATGATTTTAATGAATACACGCGTGGGAAGACAACTCTGTACGCAGACAGCAATTGATCTTCGACTTAATCAAAGCATAAACAGATTTTTATAGCATCTGGGCTTAAATTTAATGACGCCCCTTCAACGTCACAGATACATTTTATACATAGATCAGATCAAAACCACAATGACTTTTAACATAGTTTAAAAAGAACATTGTCTTCCATCTTCATAACAGGTACTTCCTGTCACTGCCGGATGCTCTCTTGTCATCCAGACACCTCAGCAGCAGTTCTGCGACAAACTGCTCTTTTTGCAACCCCAAGCAAAACATGATTAAACTTTCACCTATAAACGATTCTCTCTAACTGAGTGTGTGTGGGTGTGTGTGTTAACCACAATTGCACCCTGTTTCACCTCGCCGACTAGCTCCTGACCTCT